TAAAATATAAAAAAGAGACACGTGGCAGCAGAAGACCACCCGGTGTATTCACCGGGTGTAGCATCGAACAAATCTACGTTTACCCGAAATTGCCGAAGGAATTTCAAGTACTCTAAAAATGCAGTTACCAAGAGAATATAAGAAATTGATATGGCAAAGTTCACTTTGCGCCTCTCAATTATGGGGTGTCCCCCTCAATCATAAAATGTAGAAAACAATATTATCCAAATTAGCTAATGTCGTACACAAATTAGCTTCTTCGTATATAGTTAGAGCAACTCCAATAAAGATGTATTAAAATGAAGCATCAAACACTCAATTGGGGCTTGAGATAATACTTTGATATTCTTAAAAAACTCATATGCTCCAACTCATAGGCATTAAATAAATTATTATTCATTTTTCATTGAAATTTATTGAGATTTTATTTAACTTTTTCCGTTGAATTTGCTAGAGCTATTTTTAAGGTATATTTGGTTCCTCTTTTTTTGGGTGCATTTTTGCACCTCTAGGAGATTGAGTATCAAATTAACTACCACTTTAATGCCTCAATTTGAGTGAAATATTTTCACTTTAGGGAATCAAAATGGTAGTTTTGTAATTTAATACTTCATTTGGTTCTCCCATTGGAGTTGCTCTTAGCTACATCTATGACCAATTCCCGCAGTTGCATAAATTACTAAATTAGTAACAAATAGAGCTGGATATGCAAACGTACAATCGTTATATTTTGAACGATCAGTCAGTATGTGACGGTTACCTTTTTGGCTCTTCCTCCAACTTCATTATCCATAGCTACAAATAAAAGAATCATTATAGAAGAGAAACGATAAGTACGGGCCGAAATATTATTAGAGTAGTTTTCATCCCTCACCTTTCCACCGATTTCATATTTGGTCATCCATGTTCAAAAATAATATATATGGTCTTTCATGTTTTCATAATTTAACATTTTTTGTCATTTCTGTCAATTTATCGTTAGTCTGTCAGTTAAGGCAGTGATAGGCACAAGTTTGATTTTGTTAGTACTAACAGCAAATTGACAGAAATAACTAACAGTGTTGAATTTTTTGAAACATGAGTGAAAATCGGTGCAAACTTGAGTAATGAAAACTCTATATTTGCCCACGGAGAAGGATAAGTACTGAGTGAACAAAGCCATACAAATTTCTCGAAGCATAAGTCACAGACAAATTCATGTAATATAAGTAATAAGACACGCATAAACCAAATGCATGCCGAACCACAACATGATTGAGAAAGTAAAGCAAAACAATAAAAATTAAAAGAAAAATTACAACACCATTTAGATACCTACTAATTCTAACAAGCTTCTGGCAATGAATTGCCCAATTTTTTTAATTTTTTTTTTTTTAATTTAGAGCTTACAATTATATATGATCATGAGAATCTCCGGTTTTTATTCGTACTTTTAGCAAAGATAATGGTCACAAGCCAACTCTTCAATCATATTCATCTTGCTCAGAGTATCATCAATATCTAACCCTTGATTAATATTCTCGCCGCTAATTTCCCGACACTTTCTTGCAATGACAACCGAATTGATGACATCATCGGTCGGATGATAAACCGAGAGAACCTCAAACCCACGTAGACAAGCGGGCCCCACGACAGGATAAAGAAAAGCACGGGCACCCTTTGCGCTCCTCACCACTAGAAATGCTCCATCCACCATATTCACCGCCAAGTGCTCGATCACGCGCACCTTCTCATCGCTCTCCATACCCACAAGTGCCGCCAGAAAGACAACCTCGTACTGCCTCAACTCATCGGAACTAGTTCCCATGATATCTTTCGTGTGGAACACCATCCTTTCTGACAAGTCGAGATTCGAAACGACAAGCTTCTCGGCCACGGAGTTTGCGGAATGGTCGATGTCGTAGTTGTGGAAAATAGCGGATTTGAGGTGATGCGTGGCTAAGATGATGGAGGTGAGAGGGAGTGGGCCGGAGCCCACGAAAGCTAAATGGGTCGGGTTCGAATTAGGGTTGAAGTGGCGGGTGAGGAGGTGGTATTCGAGTTGGGAGAGTTTGAGGTAGTTGGAGTAGTAAGGGAATAAGTGGAGGTGGTTGGTTATCGGGTTTTCAAGGGATATTAGGATAGTTGAGTAGTGTTTCTCGAGGAGAGATTCCGCTTTGCCGCAGAGTCGAATGAGGTTGTTTCTAATGCGTTGGATTTTGGTGCAGAGTTTGGTGACGTCGATGGGGTGCGGTGGGATGCATGTGGTCACGAGCTGCGTGAAGAGAGAGTCGACTTCTTTCGAAGGGCTGAGGTTATCGAGCTTTGAGATTTTGTCGTGTAATTTGCAGATTTTTCGGACAAGAGGATCGATTTCTCCCACGCAAACCATGTTCTGAACAATTTAATATGAGGTAGAATTAGAAATGTTTATGTTTGCGATGTGAGAATAGATGGTGTTAAATAGTGGCCACTCTTAAGTTGCTTTTAATGCCAATTTTGAGGGATGGGACAAAGTTGCATCATTCATTCATTCTTGCATTTCTTTATTCATTGGTTGTAAAATAATTCAAATATTTCTATTCGATTAAATACATTTCCATCGTTCATATATCTGGGTAATCTGCATAAAACCCCCATGTGTTATGGAAAACCTGTATTAAATCCCCTGTATTATTTTTATTGCATAGATTATCTATGTGTTTAGTTTTATCTTGCACGGAATCCCCTATTCCGTTAAAATTTAACACTGTTATGTATTGAGGGGATTTAGTGTAATGCTTTAGTAACACAAGGGTGTTTGGTGCATGTTTTTTTCTATATAAGAGGGATTTATGCAAAAGGATTTTATTTATATAAAACTGATTATTTATTAATTAAATCAAACACATATATTCAATCCCAACATAAAAAATAAAAACAAAAAACTAAAGGTAAGGATAAAGTTTGTAACATTTTTTTTGAATTTTACATCTTTTTTTTTCTCATTTATATATTAAAATTTCATTTAAAAAAAATTATATTTCAAGAGATCTCCGGTTGTGATAATAAAATAATTGATCACATGAGAAAAAGTCTTTTCGTTTTAAGCTCAACACTTAGTATAGTTTCAAAATTTAAATAAAATGATTAATTTATTTTTATATATTATTTTAATTAAGTATAATCTTTCGGACAAAACGCACTTCGCCCTCTACAAATTTCCCATTTTCGCACTTTCTCCCCTAAAAATTCAAGTACTAATCCCTTCAAAATAGTATTTTTGTTGCACTTTGCCCCACAAGCCAATTTTTGGTGGGCACTGTACAAGAAATACAAACAAAATAACATTTCAAAGGGGCAATGTTCAAAAATATATTTTTTTAAGGGGTAACATGCAACAAAAACACTTAAATACCGATGAATAATCCATCGAAATTTTGCTATAGGGGCAATGTGCAACAAGAATAACATTTTGGAGGGGGACATTTACTTTATAAAAATTTGAGGGGGTGAAGTGCGAGAATTAGAAATGTTTATGGGGTGATGTCCAATTTAATATTTGTAAAAACATACTAGAAAAAAAACGAAATTTTGCTATTGGGGCAATGTGCAACAAGAATAACATTTTGGAGGGGGACATTTACTTTTTAAAATTTTGAGAGGGTAAGGTGCGAGAATTAGAAATGTTTATGGGGTGATGTGCAATTTAATATTTGTAAAAACATACTAGAAAAAAAGGGGGACATTCACCTTTTAAAATTAGGCCAAATCTCATTGTTAGTCCCTCATGTTTATGTTTCGTCCCACTATAGTCCCTCATCTCTCAAATGCACCATTAAAGTCCCTCATCTTCCAATCCCATCTCAGTGTCAACCTTGTATTGACACTTCCGTTAAGTATTGACGGAGATTAGCAAAAAATGATGACATTTTCCACTAAAGAAGGTCCAAGTTGGCAAATTAAAAAATAAAAAAATAAAAAAGAAAAATTGGCAAATTACTATTAGGGTCCATTTGGATGGAAGGATTTGGGGGAGGGATTTCAAATCAATAATAACAAATCCTTCGGACTTGTTTGGATTGAGGGATTTGGAGATGGATTTCAAATCCCCACCCCTCCTTTTTAGTTGATTTTGGAGCAATAGTGATGAATTTCAAATGACTCCAAAATTGGAGTCATTTCAAATCCATTCCCCAAATCAAATCCCTTCCCAAATCCCTCCATCCAAATGGACCCTTATTGTTATTTGTCGGATTATTCTCAGTGGAAAAACAATTGAGAATAAAAGGAAAAAACTCACTGATCCACCAAAAATCATAAGTTTCCTCAAATTCAAGTAAAATAATTGGGTTTTCATTTTATTTTTTATATTTGAAAGCAAATTCGAACCTCTTAATTGGTGTAGCAAAACAGTGGACGTTTTAGCCTGCTTATATATATATTTTGTTTTTCCTCAACTTTGTTATTTTTTTTTTTTTTGATTTCAAGTAACATTATTCGGTTTTTGTTTTGTCTACTAATTTCATACATATTTTATATGAGAAAAAATATATATACAAATTTTATTTATTTGCATAAATGGTGCTAATTATTATAGTAAATGGAAGCATTGGAGTTTATTTCATTTCGTTTTGGGAAAATATATTTTAAGCCGAAATTTTGAGGATAAAAGTAGTGTTCAATTTTTTTGGAAAAGAAAAAATAGAAATCAATAGCAAACATTGGTTATATATTTACAATCAAAGTTCACCACAGTTGAGAGTTTTGGAGATTTTATTGTACAATTATCTAGAAAATTATTGACTATATAGAGGGGAATATTGAATTTAAAAGAAGTTTTTGGCAGCAATGCATGATGTTGAAAAAATGATGGTTTATCTTGCAATGTAATAGAAAAGTAAAATATCAATATTATCCCGGGTAAATTACAACCACCCCGAGATATGATCAATTTACGAAAAAACCCCTCTTGATTGGATAATTACTTTTACCCCCTCAGCTATGATTTTTTCTTACACCTCTACCTTTATGGTGTCAAATTCAACATATTCATCTAGATTTCGTGAAATGTGTTCTAGTTTGTACTCGTTTTTTTGTGTAAAAATATAGTTTTTGATGCACCACAATCTGATATATACAAACTTATAAACACATATTATGATCATCTTGCTTTAAAATGTGGAGTTCGAATAAGATAAAACGGGTACAAAAGTGATAAGAATCCATAATATCTAGAAAATTCCATGAAATTTGAAACCGCAAGGGTGGACGAGTAAAAAGATTTATATTTGAGGGGGGTGGTTGTAATTATCCAAACAAGAGGTTTTTTTTTGTAATTTGACCATACCTCAAGGGGTGATTGTAATTTATCCATATTATCCCCTATATTAATAATTATTTATTGTGACTCTCCGCTAGTATTTAACGGAAATATGAAGCCAAGAACAACATTGATACACTCATAAAAGATGAGGGACTTTGATGGTGCATTTGAGAGATGAGGGACTATAGTGAGATGAAACCTAGACATGAGGGACTAACAATGAGATTTGGCCTTAAAATTATGAAGGGGTAAAGTGCGAGAATTAGAAATGTTTATGGGGTGATGTGCAATTTAATATTTGTAAAAACATATCAGAAAAAACACAAAATATAATGTTGACAGTGGGATTCGAACCCACGCCCTTTCGGACCAGAACCTTAATCTGGCGCCTTAGACCAACTCGGCCATATCAACTTGTTGACAATAATTACAATATAATGTAATATATTAATAATCGATACACAGAAGTTTTTTTAATAATAAAAAAATAAATTTCATAATATATTAAAATTGATATATTAATTTGAATTCGACTTGTCAAACATCAGTTTCTGAATATACTATATTTGCAAGGATTTAAAATACATTTAAATTAATATGATATCATTGATATAGATATTTGTTTTCATTTCCATGTATCTTAATAAATTAATTTATTGATAATTTCAATTGAACTATTAATGATTTGTTCAAAAAAACAATTGGATATAGGGATGGCAATGGATACGGGTTTGCCGGGTCTTAGACCGAAACCGACCCATATGGGGTGAGTTTGGGTAAGTTAAATGGTTATGAGTCGGGTAATGGGTTTAAGTTTCTAGAACCGGATGGTTCTGAGTCGGGTTACGGGTCTTATTGGAACCGACCCAGAACCAACCCATATGAATATATTATATTTATAATTAACCTATATTTAAAAGTTAATTTATGATTTCATTTATCAAACTTTCAATTTTCATCGTGTTTATTCTTATTTACTCATTTTTCGCCATTTCATTTCTTTGAATCTCATTTCTCGTACGTAAAATCTATCACTTGTCGACAACCGCTAGCCGTCTTACCTTTTGAACTTTACTTATCGTAGAAGTTAAATATAATTAATTATAATTTTATTATTCACTTTATGTCACTCATAGAAGTATTTTAATATATTGTATTTTAATTTTTAGATTATTTTGTTAAAATATAGAAGCAAAATATTATGGAAGTTAAAAAATAATAAATTCTTTTTTTTTATATTAACGGGTCTATCGGGTTAGAACCGTTTAATTCGGGTATGAGTTGGGGCAGGTCTAGGTCTAAGTTGAATCAGGTTGGGGCGGGTCTGAGTTTTATATATTCTTCATGGACCGGATCGGGTTTAGGCAAACCCAGCCCAAAATCGACCCGTTGACATCCCTAATTGGATATACAAAAATGTTTAGAAAAAGTCTATTTAATGTTTAATGTAATAATAAAAAAAAATAAGTTTAATAAATTTTTCAAATGTAATTTATTAACTTTTATTGGGATATTCCAAAATATTCAAAACAAAAAAATTGACTATATATTTTAAATTATTCAAATACTCTAAAAAGTCTATAAAAAAGCATTCAAATGTATATTTAAAATAAAAAAATATTTAACATAATTTATTACATTATAAATTTAAATGAAATAATACAAAATTTGTTGAACCAAATTCAATTTCTTATAAACAAAATTTACGCCATCAGCAAACTTAGAGCATTACGATTTCCAATTGGCAATTTTGGTATCGTTGTTGCATATCCTATAATATTTTTATAATATTTGCTTTTTATTACAATCGTAATTTGCAGTTTTCTATTTTTATTTGCAAATATAATTTATCGTTTCAAACTATTTTTGCAAATTGTATGTTGCATTTTGATGTTGAGTTCAACTTAATTTTGTTGTTATAGCTTAGAAAAATATAATAATTCGGTACATAAAATAACAGAATATTAGAAAATAATGTCAAAAAAATATGCAAGTAAATGTATGCGACGAAATCCTACAAAAACCTGTAACAAGTAGATACGTATATGAGGCAGCAGTCGGCTAAAACTTCGGGCAGCTGCAAGTTC